CTCTTTCCATTATTTAAGAAGGAGAATTCAGAATTGAATATGAAGTTTTGTGGCACTTACTCATGTATCATGTTTTGTGATTAAATTATGAATAATGTCATTAGAAAACTGCAGCTTTTTCCTGAACTTCTCCTTCTCACCCATAATGTGTTGCTTTTGTTAAATAAAATGGCAACAAAAGGTCAATTGTGCTTAACCCTCCGTGTGTTTATTTATTGCAGTGTTGCAGACTCACTATTTTAAGTAGGCTTTGCCTGACTTCAAAATGAATGCAGTGACACAAGCTCTGCAGCTCTTGGCAGTGCATGTCAGTAGGATAATTACAAAATAAACACAGCAGAAATATTTTTATGTTAGACTCAGCTTTGCCTCTGCAAACCGGATCTCTTGTTTCTCATTGTATTATGGTAAATCATTTGCTCTAGTAAAACTGAATGATGCAATAAAAGCTGTGGCAAATATTGGTAATCCTTTGTGCTTAAACCCCATCTTGGTTCATTTTGCATACGTTGGCCTTCATGGTAGTGCTTGCCTGATATTTCCAGCAGTGTCGTGTTCTCTATAATATGTTTTAATCCACCACCCCTCATGGGATTTGTCTGTATGTCAGATTTACATTTTGCATGGAAAGGTATACAAGTATATAAGTAAGTTTTGCTTTCTTTAGTTTTTATGGCTATGTGATTTAACAGTGTGCTTTTATATGTTTCTGTGGTAGGTTTAGAGTGATAGAAATATAAAGAGTTGGAAGAGCCCTCTGGATGATCTAGTTCAAATTGCTCAAAGCAGACTCTAAGGTGCTGAAAATTAAGTCAGATTGTTCAGGGCTTGGTCTAGCTAAGTCTGAAAAATCTCCAGAGGTGGTAAATCCGTAGCCTCCCTGGGCAACCCTTTCTGGGGCTCAACCACTGTCATGGTGAAGAGTTATTTCCTAATATCTCATCAGAAATTCCTGGGTTCAGACTTGTCTCTTTGCCTCTTGTTTCACTGTGCACCTTTGAGCAGCATCTAGCTCTGTCCTCTCTGCAATCCCCCTTTAAGTGATGGAAGAGTGTGGTCCTTCCCACAGCCTCCCCTTGGCATCACCGCGTGCTCCAGCTCCCTGGCTGTCCTACCAGTTCCCGCTCCTCTGAGCGTTTTGCAGTTTGTCACTTTACTGGGGAGCTCAAAACTGGACACAACACTCTAGAAGGGGTTTTGGTAGTGATGAGCAGAGGGGAAGAATCATTTCCGTCAATGCACTGGCAACTTTCTTGCTTCTGCTGCCTAATACGCTGTTGGCCCTGTCACTGCAAGGTGCACTGCTCACTCATGTTCAGCTGGTTATTTGCTGGGACCTTAGATCTTCTGAGAACAGTTGCTGTCAAGCCAGGAGGTACTGAACCTGCTGATAATTTCATACAGTGCTTCCTATTCCAGGTGAATACAATGTATTGTGCTGGGTAATGTTACTGCAATATCTTGGATGTATTCTGTCACCCTGCGCCCAGGAAAGAATGATGCATGAGACAGCAATGAGGAAAAGTCCTGCCCGTAGCTGTGTGGGCAAGGAAGTAGCCCTGTGAGTAAGGAATCTGACTGTTGCATGCTGGAAGTCCCATAAGGCAGTGGAGAGCTATGTGAAATGTACAGCTGGGTAGATTCACACTGGTAAAAAGAAGAGGTGAGGGAGAAGCTTCAGACGCTTCATTCATTGTCATTTGCTCAATCGTTGGCTTCAGTCTGAACCTCCTCATGCAGCTTTGCCAACCAAGAGGGCACCTGGTGCCCCATTCGCCTCAAGGTCGACTCCCACTGTGGAAGGGGCTACATCCAGACTGCATCTCTCTAACGTCCAACCCTGTCCCACCAGACTTTGGACCCCCTTGTCCTCTCACATGCCCATGGGCATCCCAGGCTACAAAACGTTGCCCCTCAGGGTTGCGCTGTGAAAAGACCCTCCACTGGGCTGTGACGAAGCCCTCACGTTATTTCGGATAACAACCCCCACCTCAAAACGTGATAGTTGTGGCCTAGAGCCACGGGGATCCTGATGCAGGCCGAGAGGAAACGTGGGCCAAGGGCACTGCGGCGAGTCTGTGGACGATGGGCGAGCTCTGAAGGACGTGGACACGAGTCAGGCAGTGCTGTTCTGGCCTTGGAGCTCAGCTCCGTTTAGCGAGTTATGCACAGACCGGGGTGCTTCGCGTCTGGCCGCAGAGAGGGCAGCTGGAGCTTCAAAGAGCTTCGCAGCTGAGCAGGCTCC